CCGTTCGCGCCGTTTGCGCCGTTTGCGGGGTTTGCGCAGTTTGCGTGGTTTGCGCGGTTTGCGCCGTTTGCGTGGTTTGCGCCGTTTGCGCGGTTTGCGCCGTTTGCGCCGTTTGCGCGGTTTGCGCCGTTTGTTGCGCGGTTGGCGCGGTTTGCGCCGTTTGCGTGCTTTGCGGGGTTTGCGCCGTTTGCCCCGTTGGCATGGTTTGCGCCGTTTGCATCCGTTTGCGCGGTTTGCGCGGTTTGCGCGGTTTGCGTGGTTTGCGCCGTTTGCGCGGTTTGCGCGGTTTGCGCCGTTTGCGCCGTTTGCGCCGTTTGCGTGGTTTGCGCCGTTTGCGCGGTTTGCGCGGTTTGCGCCGTTTGCGCCGTTTTCGCCGTTTTCGTGAGAAATTACGTTTTCGCCGTTTTCGTGGTTTTCGCCGTTTTCGTGGTTTGCGTGGTTTTTGCCGTTTGCGCGGTTTGCGCCGTTTGCGCCGTTTGCGCGGTTTGCGCCGTTTTCATGGTTTTCGCCGTTTTTCACCGTTTTGCGTGGTTTGCGCTGTTTTCTTGTTTTTCGTGCTTTGCAGGGTTTGCGGCGTTTCGCTGCTTGCGGGGTTGTCGCCGTTGTCGTGGTATGGTTGGGTCTTAGGATACCCCCTACCGTGCATACCCGCCCCCGTCACACACAACTTGTGCTCACACACACACAACTTGTCCACACACCACTTCTCATCACACCACTTCTCATCACACCACTTGTCATCACACCACTTGTCTTCACACTTGTCCACAGACAATTGCTCACACACCACTTGATATCACACCACTTGCTCACACACAACTTGCTCACACACAACTTGTCCACACACCACTTCTCATCACACCACTTCTCATCACACCACTTGTCATCACACCACTTGTCTTCACACTACTTGTCCAGAGACAACTTGTCATCACACAACTTGTCCACAGACCACTTCTCATCACACCACTTGTCATCACACCACTTGTCTTCACACTTATCTACGTGTCTTCACACTACTTGTCCACCGGGCACCAGCACAACAGGCAGAGTCAAGTCTGTCGTCGGTGAGTGCTGTGTGCGCAGTTGCATCGCGTGTTGCCGTCGTGCATGTCAGGTTTTGGGCAGGCGTGGCACTTGGGCGACATGGATCGTCACTTTGCGTCGCAGGCGTGGCACTTTTGGCACTGGGTTGGCTCTGGTGGCGCGCTTGGTTCCCAGGCCGCGCTGGGACGCCGCGGCGTTTTGTGTGGCAGGCGTGGCACTTTGTGACATCCACCTTCACTTTGTGTGGCAGGTGTGGCACTTGATGACATGTATCGTCACTTTGCGTGGCAGGCGTGGCACTTGCAGGCGTGGCACTTGCAGGCGTGGCACTTGTCAACACATGGATCGTCACTTTGCGTGGCAGGCGTGGCACTTATGGCACTGGGTTGGCTCTGGTGGCGCGCTTGGTGCCCAGGCCGCGCTGGGACGCCGCGGCGTTTTGCGTGGCAAGCGTGGCACTTTGTGACATCCACCTTCACTTTGTGTGGCAGGCGTCGCACTTGATGACATGGATCGTCACTTTGCGTGGCAGGCGTGGCACTTGTCAACACATGGATCGTCACTTTGCGTGGCAGGCGTGGCACTTATGGCAGTGGGTTGGCTCTGGTGGCGCGCTTGGTTCCCAGGCCGCGCTGGGACGGCCGCGCTGGGACGCCGCGGCATTGTGCGTGGCAGGCGTGGCACTTTGTGACATGCACCTTCACTTTGTGTGGTAGGCGTCGCACTTGATGACATGGATCGTCACTTTGCGTGGCAGGCGTGGCACTTATGGCACTGGGTTGGCTCTGGTGGCGCGTTTCGACGAGATGGTGGTACATGTTGCAGCTGTAGACATTTCACACCACGCAGGCAGACAGCAGTGACACCACGGCCACCACACACAACATCACACTTAGAAAGCTTTAACACGCCGTGTGGAGAAGTGACATTTGACAGCACGCAGTCAGACAGCAATGACACAACGGCCACGACACATAACAGCACACTTCGAAAGCATGGAGGCACAGACAACATACAACATGACACGACCGCTTGGAGCCAGCAAACATCACATCACATCTGAAAGCTTTAACATGCTGCGCGGAGAAGTGACATGAGAGGACATCGGATATGATTGCATCGCACCCAAACAAGCGATGTCAACGTAGCTTTGACAGTACTGTTGCTTCTGCAACTGACAGACTTCATGATGACGTCGCCTTTTCTGTATAGATATAACAGCTTGTTATTTTGTGTTGTTCTGCCGGGTACCGACTTCATCGCGCAGATGCTGCCGTTTCTGAACATACTGTTCGAAGCAGTGGTCTCAGCAGTAGACATCAACCAATCATAATGACTATGTAATACGCATGTTGAGAGAGAGAAATATATATATATATACACATAGAAATTCCAAGTTTGCTTGCTGATTTGTAACACTAGAAGAACTGAAAAAAAAAATCGATCTCTGCTCCAGGAGCTCTCGGCTCAGTTTTGGTCATTCTTGCTGTGTAAAATGTCTTGCTCTTTTGCCGGTATTAGAATAGAAACTCACTATACGATTTCTCTGACCGCCTTGCGCCTCTTTCGCCAATGTATGGAAGAAACGTTTCGGAGCCCAAGGACGATTGACAGTCAGATTTCTGCTGGAAATTGGAAGGAAGCATGGATGTCATGTCTTGAGTGCTTGGAGCAGACAGAGGGCAGAGTCTATGACTTGGAAGGCGAAGACTGCAGCATCTTGGCCCGGGTCAGACGTCTTCTCTGCGTGGCCTCCATGGACGACTGGTCCCTTCTTAAGGTTCTGGAGAATAATGCAGCAGTGTTGCAGCTGGAAGCGGTCGTGCCACAAGGAACCTCCTGGCGTGACTTTCATGCCTTCGTCGGCAGGTACCATAAGAGTCAGTTTGAAACTGCTGTGGGCGACCTCGGCATGCTGCGTGCCGCGTGGGAGTCTGCAGCGGAGGTGTCGTTGCCATATGCCGCTTGGCTGTGTATCGCAGAAGTGTAACTGGAGGAGACTTTCTGGATTGTGACCGTCCGCGGTTGTCCGTAGGTGTCCGTGATGTTCGATGTGGCTGTTACCGTGTCTTGGACTTGATCCGGATTCCGTGTGCAGTATGTACCGTTTATAGCCAAAGGAGCTAGCTTTAGCTTGCATGGATTGACGCGCCGTGCGAAGATCTGGCGCCTGAACGCGGCCATGTGAGAGACAGAAAAAAGATCACGTTCATGACAAATGAGAACAGTTTCTGTGCAATCGGTGCCACTATTCTTGTGTTGCTTGCTTTCAGTGGGAGCTACATTACTGCACTTGCCGCCGTCGCTTGGCAGGTCCACCACGCTGCGATGTCGTGATCTTTGCTAGTGCTGTTGCAGTTGACGGTGCTCATATGTCTGTTATCAATCTGTGCTTCTGAAACTAACAGTCTTCGTGACAGCCGGTGTTTTCTGTTGTTCTGCCAGGCACCGACTTCGTCGCGCAGATGCTGCTGTTCAATACATGCATACATACACACACACATACATACATACATTCATTACATTACATTACATTACATTACATTACATTACATCACATCACATCACATTACATTACATTTACATACATACATGATGTGTATATATATATAAGTATGTATATACATACACGTTTGCCTCATAGTCCGGTACGGTCCAACTCTCGGGCCCCCCCCCTTGAAAGGCGGACCGAGACATAACCGGCCCAAACTCTTGCACTTGCACCGCTCGCCCCCTAATACTTGCTACGCAAGGGGGAACTCAGGTAGCTCACCGCTACCTTTCGAGAAAACAAAATACCAAATCACCAAATCTAATCAATAATTTGTTTCAATCATCCAACGTCCAACCGCATGTCGATATGTGCGTGGTATCTAAATTTTCCTTACCCTTTTTGTTTCCTTGCTACCACTAACACCCCGAAAAAAATCTGAGCCACAACATCAATGCTTGCCACAGACAATGCAATGGTGCCCATTGCACGTTGTGCTGGTGTCAAGTTCCCACTGATTGGATTCTGGCATGAGCATGAACAAGTTTGCCTCTGAGAAACCATCGCTGATGATCGGCAGTTCGTCGTAGAAGTCCTGGAAATCAAAATGGTCAATACTGAATCACAACAGCCCACGTCATCTGAATCCCACACGCCATGACACGTCCATCTCAGCAGAGTCACTGCATCTCCGGAGTGAAGTTCTTTCCACTCAGTCACTTGTTTGATTTTTTTATAGATTTTTTCTGTGTCTTTCTGGTCTGGCAGTTCGCCCTTTTTTGGCACCGACATCCGGCGAAAAACACATACTAGAGAATCTAGAGATCTAGAGAATGTTCAAAGATGTTCACAGCGGAAAAACGAAACGCATTCTTCCTGCACTTAAAGCCCTGTTGCAGAAACATGTACCCGTCAAGCGCCTGCACTAGATTCAGTGGGCTCAAACAGCTGCCAAAAGCAGGCACGCAAACGCTTGACAAAGCTGACGGATGCTTGTCCGCTGTCCTTGCTACTACTGATGACTGGCGGCTCGATGTCTTGAGCGGAGTCGCCTGCAAACTGTTCCAATGACATTGAAACATGACTAAGTATTTAAGGTCACGGAGAACATACGAAATAACCAGAAGAAATTCAGCGGGTTCGATGAGAAAACCATGAGTTTCAGGTATTTACCACTCCGCCACCACATTGGAACAAATCATAACAGCAGTCATGCGTGGGCCATGGTGGGAAAGAACGAAAGACACCAAATGGACCATGGAGGTAATAACATGTAATTAATAACCACACTCAAGTAGAGAAACAAATGTTGAAGGGAACCAACTCCTGTCGCCAGGAATCGGTTCAAATTTGAACCCGAAATGGCCAAAGAGCCCCTCAAATAAAGATCAGAACATTGCCAGAACAAACAACTGCCATTCAAAACAAAGACTGAGAAACGTTTTGAAGACGGTCTTAGAGTCTATTCAAATGTTTTCAACCAAAAGCACAAGCAGGCTGCAACCTCTAAGCCATGGATGCTGCTAGAGGTTCTCCTGCCGCTAATGTGAGCTGGATGCACCAACAAGTTAAAGACAAGGCAAAACCCTTGGCAAGAGTTTTGTCCTGGATGCAGATGGATCACCTGTCCAAAATTCCACAAACTGAAAGTTGTCAAGGTGCGTCAATCAATTCCTGGAAAACTAAAGTTGCTAAGTTTCAGAGTCGAGACTGAAAAAAATTGCCTCCCAAGCCAGCACTTTGCCTTCCTGCAACGCAGTTTCAAGTTTTCTGCTTCAGGATTTGCTTATCTACTGTCGAATCGCTTCAAGTTCAAATTTTGGGACCTACTGTCAATCATCGGTGACCATTGTTTTGAAAAACTAAATTCAAAGATTGATATAAAGTAATTATATATATATAATCCTGTTGGTTGACCGCTCACCTTGCCTGATTTTGCACTTTCAAAAAGCTCGCGCATTTGAGAGGTTCCCATTCGAATCGGGATCAAGCCTTCAGTGTCTGCGTCACGGAGATCCGTGGTTCAAACAAAACATCGCTTAACGGACGCAATAGTTGCCATATGTTTTCATGTGTTTTCATACATGTCCAAATGTTTTCATATGTTTTAATATGTTGTAATGTGTTTTAATGGCTGGACATCAGCACAACTCACTGCTGGCCTTCAGTGTGGATTTCTGGTCGAGGGGACAGGACTGGAAAAGTCGCCCAGAACTCCTGGATAACTTAATTCAATTTTGAATGGACCTTTCGAATGACACCCTGCTGAAGAGTCTTGACGCAAACACAAAAAAACTTGCAAACGTGATCAAACGTGTATATACTCACTGTAGTCCTCGCAACCCACCCGAGTTCTCCACTGCATATCAAACTGCCACAGGGTGATACAAAACTCACTGATCATTTGAACGGTCAAATTGTGTTCAACGACTGTTCTCTGGATTTGTTGCCGAAAAACTCACAGATCTCCCACAGGCCTGAGAGGGACTGACATCGGCCCTTCCACTCCCAGGCATTTCGCAATCAGAGATAGGTGATGAACCCACTTAAAATGAATGTAAAATGATGGTTTTTGGGAAGAACATCATGAGCCATTGTGTAATTTTTTGTCACCGAACAAAGGTGGCAACTATCAATGTCACTTGAGTCTGAGTATGAAGTCAAATGACATGATTTTGATTTTTCATGGACTTGGGTGCCACTGACCTTGAGCAAATTCGGCATTTTTCAAACCATGATGCTGTAAGATTCAGTGAGTGTGTTTTTCAAAAGATATGTTGTTGTTTTAATGGCTGTACCAGCACAAACCTAGCTGTACCAGCACAAATATTTTCTGTAGAATCATGCTGCGACATCCTCCAAACTCAAGGTTTTCAACCCAGCAAAAGTGACACACATTTTGATTTTTGTTTTGTTCGTTCATGATCTTTTGTCACTGGAGAAAATGGCAAGCAAATTAAACAACGTTAGCTGTTCATTTGTTTCATATCCTTAAGTTCTTGCAGCTGACCTCGCACTCAAGTTCCCTTTTTTGTCTGCATGGGCAACACGTTGCTGGTCAAAGCCAGGCTTCGGGTTTGGCTACTTTACTGGTGAAAGGGCGGCCGTGGGTGGGTCAGTAAAAAATGACCGAAACAAGAAGCAGGTCAAAGCCTCCCATTGTAGAAAGTTGCAGCAATGTTGCCCACAGCTCGTCGATGTCCACATTGTACTGAGGTTGTCAAGAAATTTCTGAATCTGTCCTCTGGAAGGGTCATCAGCTATGTTTGATTCAGTCGGCACTCTGCTGAACCATGCGTTCCATTTCAACTCAAATTCCAGTCGGAGGATCGCACAAAGAACTGGAGTGGCGTTTGTGCTCGAGGTCTGACAAGCTATCAAGACATCCTTCACACCTTCGTTGTCGGTGCACACGACCACTTGTGATTTGCACAGTCTATCAGACCAACAACGCATTGCTAGGAAAATTGCAAGAAGTTCACATTCAAAAATGATTGTCTTTCGGTTCGTGGCGTTCAAACATTGAAGCAAGTTCTCGTCCAAAATAATGAAATGAACCCACAACGCTTTCCATATTGATCAACCAGTACAGCACCAATGCCCGCAACTGCTGAGGGCTGTTGGGGTTCGTATGAAGCGTCTGTAAACACGAACCAGGTTGCAGTATGCGCCAAAGACAGAGTACGCGGCGATGACTTGATGGAAAAGTTGGAGGGCCTGCCGGCCTTCATCTGATATGGTTGGCCCATGTTCGCCATACGCATGTTGCGTAACAATGGCAAGACACCTCATTGCCACTCGGCCAAAAATCTGACCAGCCACAATCTGTAGTCTTCCTCGAAGCTTGAGGGCTTCTTGACGGGGAAGCACCCCTTGATCAAGCACCTGCTGCAGCGCTGCTGAAATCTCAAGCTTGCGGTTCGCGGTGTTGTCAACAGTCACGACACCACGATGCAACGAAGAGACATCTATCATGACTCCAAGGGCTGTCACCAACGAATCAAAAGGCGGTGCCTTATCACCTGTTTCAGCAAAGACCCAGCCAAGCGTCTTGAATGCCATGCTAACTGCAGCTGTCACAGTCTGGGTCTCCGGCACTGCAGTTAGTGCCGCAAAGTCATCAAAGTAATTGGAAATGTAAACACCAAAAATTGACACAAGGATTGCCCACAAACTGTTGGCCACACGAAGAAATGAATGTACTGACATCACACTGCCAAATGGCAGCGCACGCATCTTGAAGCATTTCACTTGGCGTGCTTCCGGGTTGGCCACGGCAATGAAACTGCAAGCATGGTCAGGGTGAATTGCGCACTGTCTGTACGCCCGCTTCAAGTCAAAGCTTCGTGCTTGCCAAGTCGTGCTCTCGTCGGCGATACCCATGAGGCCCAAGCACATGCTGCACAGGATATCCACTGTGTGGGGTTTTGGGGACTCGCACTCTGTGCACAAGCATTGATGGAGGATTGGGTGAAGTCATCCACGCACCGAATCTTTGAGGACTGCTTGATGCCAAAACGCTTGCTCAAAGGAAATGTAGCAGCCACTTCGTCTTGAGTCTGTTGCCAAACTGCTGCAAGGGTGTCACTGTCCATAAACTCGAAGGACTGAAATGTGAGCATTGGCCGTTGTGCCGAGGCCACCTTCTCCAAATCAGCAGTTGTCAACGACGCCGGCTTGAATTTTCGAGGCTATAGCCCTGTCACTTCAGATTCTCCTGTCAAAGGAGTCCCAGTTGAAAACTCCTTCACAACTCCCATATCTTCATACCCTATTGACTCAAGCATTTGTTGCCAAAGTAAAACTCGCTTCCCGTTCAACACTTGTTTAACGCTAGGATGGAGACTTTCATGAAACTCACGCTCTGATTGCTTGAGGTCCAGAGCACGCCTCCGCCAAAACTTCATTGCCGACAACCTTTCGCTGTTCCTTTTGTCACAATCTTTGTACTTGTAACTCTCCAACAACGTTTTGAGTCTCGGCGGCAAGAAGGTGCCCATGTCCATAGGGTGGCCTGCTTTTTCCACTTCATCAACCAACTGCTCTGGTTCCCAAGGAATGCCCCACGTCTGCAAAAGTTGGGGCAGGTCGTCTCCAGTAGGCGCACTAAACCTGATGACCTCCGGCTGCAGAAATTTGTCATCCCCCGTGTCCAGGTTGTCAGCCGGGGTAATTGCAAGGAGTTTGGACCCTTTGGGTAAAATTTGCACTGGATTTGAGGAAAAGGTGACATCATCACGCAACCGTTGAAAGAGATGTACTTGAGGAAGGTCATCTTCACGTCCAGCCAACCTAAAACGTGTCTGATAGGTGGCACTGGTGTTGGTGTTTTGCTGGATCTCGATTGCGTCCC